ACCAATTCACACAGCCCATCAGCTGGTAGCTGGACACATCTGATGCATTACTACGCATTACTACGTGTCAAGGTGAGTGAGAATAAACATAGAACAGACAGGAAAATTAAAAAAAAAACTTAATTCTCCATCACCAAAAGGCTTCTGTGGCTTGGGGTAAGAGAATCTGTCAAGGACTGATGGAACTGGCCACAAGAATTTTGAACAAAAGTCTGTGAAGAGGAAGCATGTAGTGGTCCTAATTAGAACCACTGGAAAAAGGTGCACTACTTTTTTTCCAGATGACAGAGCCAGTAAGCAGTGGAATATTTTCAACAGGAAAGATTAACTAAGAAAATAACTAAATACTTAACCTCTGCTGCTTATAACCCCAAAGCTGTGTAAGACCCACAGAAAGAGAAAGTGGCTTTAAAATAGTCTTGAAAATAAAGCCGGAGCAATGCCTCAGTCAATCAGGGTACAGTTAGCAAGCCACGTCTGTACTTGTGCTATTAAAACATGCTGTTGAGCAGAATTAACTCATTGAGTTAGGCAAACAGCCATTGGGAAGAGAGAGGCATGAGGACACCACTTCAACTATTACACGAGGGCATTTTACACAATCCACGTGGCATTACATGTGATTGGGGTGACAAAAGGTCGGGAACATTTTCAGCTTTGTTTTTTATGAAATAGCTGAGGAGCCATTAAATATGGAATTAAAATTGTGCCCAAATCAAGCATTCCTAATATAAAGAAATAAATGAGCAATTCACTGTGTCCTTTCTTTTTAGGACCTCTTGATACTTTCAATCATCTATTATAATACGCTTTTCTTCCTTAGCGGGGTTACCAGATTAGTAATCTCCACTCTAACCACTTTTCCTTGGGGTTATATACTCTGAGGGACTGCAAAGAGTCTATAACAGAAGCAATAAAAAAAAGACAAAAAGCAAGGAGTAACTTAAGTGAGATATTCTCAAAGATGCCAACTGGGGTTGAGAATGATAGCTCCATGCTAGTACTGAACACGATCCTGCAAGTGGCCAGAGTTCAAATTCTAGACTCAGGTTTCTTGCAGCGTTGAAGAAAATGCTTTTAATCTTTCATGGTTTCATAGAACGAGAGTCAAGTATTTTCTTCAGGCAGTATTTCTTACAGTTAATCTTCTGGGCCTTCTGAAATGTTGGAGAAGAGAGAAAGGGCAGAGCTTTTCTACCCTGAGCTGGACGCTTAACTGGACACTTTCAGCCAACCCTCCCAATAAGCACTGAAAGCTGCATGTACTACAGACCCTTCATTTTGAGAACTGAATGCTCCCCTCCTTCTGGTGAGGGTGGAAGGAGTTATTAAGGATATTTCCAAAGATACTCGTAGAAAAGATACCTTTCATAGCATCATGAGCCATGCCAGAAAAGAGTTGAAGGAGTGGAGTAAGAAGTTCTGCGAGCTTATAGCTTCATACTCCTGCTCCATTTCTACAGTATATAAAAGTTTGGATATTAGCCACATTCATCTCACATGTTTCACTAGAGGATATGTTTGAGAAAGGCTGGCATAGAATTTAATTTTCTTTCTTCTGTTTTTTATCCTCAAGTAAGAGACCAATCTTCCACACCTATTTCATTGGGAAGGGAATAAACTGACATCTCACAGCTCTCAGATGAGTGCCCTAGCTCTTAGGCTGTAGGCTTCTCTGGGAGTGGAGTGTTCTCACTTCAGGGCTGTTGAGCAAAACTCCTCATGGAAAACTTTTCTCCTCTTTGCCTTCAGAGTTCTGCACTCCTCTCTGAATCACAGCACTACTTCAAATGAAAGGTGGTGAGGAATGTACAAGTTCTCCAAGATATTACTACAAGGCAAAAGAGGATAATTTAAATCCCCTGAGACTACAAAATGTGTTGAACACAGATCTCCAACTTCCTGAGCAAGTGCTCTAACCACAGGACTCCTAAATAAGTGGTCAACACTTCTCTCTTCTGGGCTCTTAAAGAAAAGCATGAGGCAGTCCCTTATTCTCAAAGCACTGAAGATCAAGCAAAGCTATTGCGGCTGTGAATCACATTTTCCTTGCATACTGAATTTAGAACTGCAGCCAAGCGCCAAAATCAAAGAGACAGAGAGCATTTCATACACATCTGGCCCTCAACTGGCCGAAGCCTCCTTCCAAACAGCATGTTGGGTGTCATGAATCCAGCTTGTGAGCCCTGGGAACCCTAAGTCTATGTCACGCTACTTACTCTGTGAAAAGCTGGATGCCTAACTTGGCTTCGTGAATCACATTCCCAAAGGCAAGACGGTTAAAAGCATATCTCAAGAGCTGGGGAAAAAGTATTGCATTTCAAAAGGAAGCTGTCAAGTAATTTTTGACAGTAGCCTTAACCAAAACGTAACACTGCGAACCCCTTGTAATGGGCTGGTACTGTTACAAACTCACTATCCGAAAAGATGTGTCAGTCAGTACCTCTGCTTCAGCTGAATGTGCCGAAAAATGGGCCAACTGTTAAAACCCTCCTTATCTGCTACATATATCTTTTAGACCATGCAGGCTAATTCCCTATCACTAGGCAAGATCTAAGGCTAGAACCATGACAAATTAGGTGCAGCTGATTAAAAAAAAAAATAGGAAAAGAAACAGCAATTTTTTCCCAGGCCTTTCAGTCAATATGCAGCAAATTTGCCCATTCAGAACATTTATTATAGAAAAGTGCCTTGTCCCTTGATTATGCAAATCTCCCTTTCACCATCTCTCACGTATCAGTTCTACCTTTCTATAAATGCCTGACCTGTGCACGATCCCTGGAAAATGATTCCTGATCCTGCAGCTGAACCTGCAGAAGAGGCACTTCCCTCCGCAGGAGAGATGCAGTCCAGTGTTTTATTGGCACAACCAAACTGGATCGGACCCAGCCTTACCCAGCATAGCAAAACAACTGCCTGAAGACTTGTTTGGGTTTCTTTCCCATTTAGCTGATGTCATCCAGGAAGTAATGTAGCTCAATTAGTTAAAAAAAAAAAAAAAAAAAAAAGAGAAAAAAAAGACAGAAGCGACAGCCAGCTCAGGGTTTCCACTAGGTGGACATGCTGACAAAGCTGTATCGAAAGCGTATCTTCCAGTGCAAGCCCTGGTGCAGGCGGGTGGGCTTTCCACTGCTGTCACTAACTGATTGCAAACACCAGGCTTCATTAGATCATGCTTCATTTGGATTTTTTTACACTATTTAAGCAGCGATCAATGTGGTTTAACTTTACAGCTGCATTGCCTGTACAATCTGTATGAAACTGGGCGTGTACAGTCCTTGCTTGCGTTTGAGGTATTTTTTTCCGCGATGCTCCCTCTATTTTCATGTTCTTTGGAATACCTTGCGCGGTTCTATATTGTGCCTAGAGTAAATTATTGACGAAAAACCAAGGGACTTGCATAGTGATGTTGGGTTGAGGCAGGTTTTTTTCTGTCAGTCCCCATCGCCCTCATCTTGTGAACAGC